TATATATATAATGTTTAAAAGAAACAATCACAAATCGAGGTTTGACCATTTGGTTGAATATTTTTTTTTATTTACAAAGTCTGCATTATGAATGGAGCTCGTCAAGCATAACTGAGCTAGGAAGAAAAATTTATGTGCAGATCCTTAAACAAGGTTAGGTTCATAATAACGTCCTAACAAAACAGACTTCGTTGAGCATGTGTGAAGTAAAATTGTCAATAAGGCCGAATTAAGTCGGAGTGAACTTCATTGTTTGCTTGATCTACAAGCACAACGCTGTTGTATCTGTTCTCCGATTTCAACTGAAATTACGTAACGGTGAAATAATTCTGTATTCGATCAAGCCGTAGCGATTGGCCATAGCGGTACTTCGAGCTGCCATACTGAACCAAAAAATATCTTCAACCGTTTAAGCTACCCCGGTCAGTTCTATAGCTAGTTCGTATTGTGCTTCAATATTGGTATAATTCAATATAAAACTTCAATGTGATGCTTGATATCTTGTAGCCCCCACACAATGGAAATTCAAAAATACTTGTCAAAATCCAAGCATATATTGGTATTAAATACATTTGAGTGAAAGAAATGCCAGTTCTATCTATTTGTTAAGAGCGGTGTTATTCAGTAAATCGGGTACACGTAGAGATGAATCAGGTCTAGCTACGCGGAATAGAAGACTACTTGTATTTATTATATTCACGCCTTTCTCCGACGTACTGTTTGGCCGAAGTATAATCTGGATTTTAATGTTACTTCGGGGCTTTAGTCTAAACCCATAAAGGTCCCATAATAAAAATGCTCTGGTTTAATTTGAATCTTTTCGTTTGGGCACATTTTGGTATTGCTATTGTAGTATTTTGCTGGGGCTGTATTTGACATTGTTGAATTTGAACGGTTCTATCATTGCCAAGATGACGATGCGAAGCACGCGATAAAGCAGGGACGCGCCAGGCCACTTCAGAGTTATAAGCACACCGAAGTTTGCCTATAACTTTCAGTGCAACGTGCCAGAGATTGCCGGTTGTAGATAATATATTGCTGACGTGGCCAATGGGTCAGTAACCCAGCGTAGCGAATTAGATTTGACCAGGCCTGTTTGGGAAACTACAGGCCATGGGTAACTAACCATTGGACTTGCCAACTCACCTGGAACAATTAAAGCCCTACGGCAACTGGTTGCTTCTAAAGTAATTCATTTTCAAAAAAAAGTGCCTTGCGCATTACGAAACAAATGTTATTTAACGCAGATCTCTACTTTTTCACTGATGCTAGGACCGCGTAGGTATAAATCTTTTCTCTAATAATAATTTAATTAATATCTTTCAATAAAAATAATAAAGTGACTTTTGCATAAACGTATAAAAGGCCAAGAGTACGTAACCGCACTCTTGGCCTTTTATTTGTTAGGTAAGTAGTCGTGGTATGTCCACTGTTCGTAAGAAATGTTTATTCCTGCTTTTGAAATTTTCAGTTTGCTCGTACCCCCAAAGATTTATAGCTTTCCGCTTTAATTTATATGTTTAATTGTATAAGAGCCTATAGATTGATTTATTTAAAAGCATTATTTCATAATTTGGCGCGAAACACAGACGGTACAACAGAAAATACTAACTTAACTCATAAAAAGGCTAATTTCAAAAGACATCAAAATGAGACTATAGTCAATAGCTACCGTCATATAATTATTGCCTGGTTTCACTGGAAAACAGATAATATCTATTCCATCATTTCTAGTCATTAACGTAACATCACGTCCCTATACGAACATGACATATGTATAGAAATATTCTTTGTATTATCTTTACTTAGTTTATTGTTACTATCAAAGATTTAATGTAGAATAGAGACATTTGGTTTACAACAAGGGCGCGAAACTCGCTAATGTGAATAGAGCTGGTAACGTTGTAGCAGAGTTGTACGACACTGACCATTAAATAGGCAGTCCAATATATTAGTGATTGGGTAGATCAGTTTTGTCTTTTGCCAGATCGCCGTAGACCGGCTGTCTTCGGTCGTCTATGAACGATAATCTCGTTGCCCACAAGCGGCAGGTGAATCGAAGCCCATTCAGACGAGCAGTGGACACCTTCAGGAACAGTGAGATCCTCTTTCACCTCAATAATCTGACCTCTCTGCGTCACCTTCCGTTCAGAGCTCTACGCCGCCTCAGACCATTCGGAGGTAGCTAACTCAATGCGACTTAAACTCCGATTCGTTTTTTTCAACTCCACTGGCTCCACTCGCCACATTTATTTATCCTCCATCATCTGCAGGGCAATTCTCTCTCTCTTTCTCTCTTTTTTCCTGGATCGTTTCTCCTCAAAATTCTCGCTTCGCCCCACGTTATTTCATCTCAACACATATGCGCGGCTCCCCGTCCCAACCATTCTCGTCTTTAGATTGACTTCGACCCGAATCGTATGTAGTGAGTTACCCGTCTGTATCCGGCAGTCCAACCTAATAGAAGGCACGAGACATCATTTGAGTGTTTTCTCTTCGAGAAGAAGTCAGGCACAAGTGGGAGTTCGGTAGCCTTTGTGGGCTGTTCGATGGCGGTAAAAGGGGCGCCCTTTGCATCTCTCGTATTTATTCAGTTTTGCCACACAGAATACGATTTCAGTCTACAAAAGGAGTCGCTCGTTGGATTGGGCGCCGGCCCAAAAATGGAATCAAATTCTAGGTGCAGTATATGAGCTACGTTGGTTAACTCACGTTCACTGTTTATCCAATTGCACTAGGTACCCGCTCTAATTTGTAATTTTCTTGGTTAACTTAGCATATTATAATTTTAAGAAAATCTTAGTGTGTTACTCATCTCTGTAGCCTATCCCTACAACTTACTTTGGGCATTTTCAGACAGTCTGTTAAAAAGGAGCAGAAAAAAGTGCAAAAGTATAGGTTTGATGAAAACTAGCAACTTACGTGTATATATAGCCATATAGGGTCAGCACCGATTCTATTTCAATGCTAGCAACGACGTCCGAATTTACTTTTGAAGCAGTCACTAATAACTTACCCTTTGCCATCTATGTCTAGGAAATAATATTTGCGTTTTCGTAAAATGCTTCCATATATGAATGATACACATTTTGATTATACGCATTGTCGCCTTACTGCACGCATGCGTTCGTCAGAGATCCTGATACTCCCTATATTAGGACGGAGTAATTTAACGGCAGGAAATGCGCTATTGAAAAATAACATTGGCTATGTGCTATTATAAATACGGTATAGTCCATTGTTACGTCACAAATCAACTAAGAGTGCTTCTATCTGCACTTAACAGAGCCTTATTTCGGCGGGAATTGATTCCGTTTCGTTATGTCTATTGTAGATTCGAACGTGACGCTGGTAAGAAGCTCAGAACGCTTTCAGGTGAAGTGTCCTACTGTGCCAACTAGAAAAAGGGTTCGTGATATCGTATGGTTCAAGGACAATCACACACACCCTATCTACAGGTAAGCAGTGCCTTGGATTCTCTTCATATGAAGCTCTGTTAATTTGGCCTGCGATGACTTTCATCATGATCGTCTATAAGATCTGCTACCTACGTTTGGTTAGCACCGAAAAAGAAAACTATAGGTACTAGGATTCATACTATATCTGAGTGTAAAATCGTATAGCTTCTTTTGTCAATGAACAAAAGTGCTAGCTAAGCAGAGGAGGAACAATAATATCCATTGTTCATTCATATGAGAGTCCTTAATTAGGGGGCTTTTTTTTTACACTTGAAAGCGGCCTAGCGTGATGGTGAAACTTCAGTACGATGCATTCTCCTGAGTCATATTGGGATAGACGCTGACGTTAATATTAAACCGGCCTTAGAGGGTTTTCGAAAACGAATTATTTTGACATACATTATGCGCTTGTTTGCAAATTTGATTGTCCTGGAAACCCCAATATATGTCCAGATATAGTGCTGACAATGCCGTATCATTGTACGGTCACCCAACGATACACCAGCATCAACCACTAGAAATGTGGAAAGGTCGCGTGTTCTCCTTTGTTGAAGACAAGGAACAACCAATGCTTACGATCGGCAAGGTAAGAAGACGCCTACCCTCAAATTATTACACAACATCATGACAAATATAGGCATATAGTTCCAGTATGGACAACTACAACAGTATTACGAGTGGAATGAATGAGCTGTGGGTCTCTAGACGTTCAATAACTGTCTTCTCTGAAATAGTCGGCAATTAAAATCTTTCTAGTACGATCAGTAAGCGCAATAATCGACTGCTAAATATCAACGAAGTAAGTGCCGTATCTGGAGGCCCTTATTCAGGTCAAGCCTATTTTAGTTTACTCATTTTAGTATTTATCTGAGGCACTGATCATGGAGACTGCTTACTGCTGCCATTTCGATGTATATTCGCTACGCTAAACGGTTATTGCTTGTCTGTAAATTGAATCATACATTACTCGTACGGAATCGTCAATTACTGAAGACGTCCTCGAATATAGAATGCGTCTATCTATGATTAAGGTTTTCAAACCTGACCATTAACTGGTTATGGTAGGATCGGCAGGACTACAGGGCTCCTTTGGTTGCGTCAATTGTAGCATCTCGGCCTCCGCCGCCGAGAGGTTAGAGCAGTGGATTAAGAAGTTCTACCGCAAAAATTGAATACAATCCATTGACTGTGTGACACTTTTGTGCTTAGACAAATATTTATTTAGTACTTCATAGATTATTTCGCGTTAATTTATTTATTAAACGGACTTGAAAAGTGAAAACGTCATAAGAAATGATGAGAATGGCTAAACGACTCCAAAAACACAGAAAAATAACGTATTGAAGCTTTATATCTTATAATAATTAATAGCTAATGATTTCTAATAGTACATCTTACTTTTTTTCATGGTGACGATGCAACAATTTAATTAAGGGCGAGTGCGTAAACATAGATAATAATATACGAGATGGGAAATATGAGCAAGTAAAGAGATGATGTTGTATAAAGCTTTGATTTTTAGTGTACGTAACTTCCCTGTATGTACTCTGCACAGAAATTCTGTGTCTTCCGCCCTCCCGATAACTTTCTAGAAACGACCGGGATAATGGCTGACCACAACATCTGGCAATTTTATGGTATTGAACTTAGGTTATTAGGCAGACAATTTCTAACTTAACATTTGTGCACAGCGCGCATCAAAACCCCTTAGGAATTAGTAAAAGATAATTTTCAATGATTAAAAGGTAAGAAATCATCGTGTACTAATATATAAAGTCAGTTAGGTTTTCAGGCCAATATATTCAAATCAGGTTTCATTCTCAATCATACCTCAGGCAAATCCGAGCGACTCGGGGGTATACGTTTGTCAGGTGACCCTTTCAGATCGACATTCGTTAGCGACTTCGACCACTGTTCTCATTGTTGGTAGGTATTTATTTTCAAGATTAAAATGCCCATTAGAATCCTGTATATTTCGCTGTTTCGTAAACACAAATATTCTACGTCCTTAAGCACTAACGTGAACGAGAACTTAAGCAAACTGCGTACATCAACTTCTTTTTCAACTCTATGTATTTCTACCTTCTAGTTCGAACAAATTAAGGACATGGCCTATGTGTGTAGACCTAATATGATTCAAACGGTAGTATGTCTGAGTAGCCAAATGGATGTACGGCTGGATCAAATGCAGACCCCTTCTCCTACCTAACTGTCGGCCATATTGATTTACCTCGAAGAGGGTAACGAGATTAGCGTTTTCTCATCTTGCTCGATACTACTAATTTATGCATACCAATCCGCATCAGCAGGAAAGGTAAGCGGAATTGGCAAGAGAAACTTTTAACCTACTGACTATAAATTTGAATTTGGTCGCCCTTTTCCAATCAAGCCTCGAGTATCGTGATACAATGAGAGCAGAATTAGCCTACGCTATAATCGTGTGGGAGGAATGAATTATCGCGAACAACCTCAAAGCCCATCTCTACCAGGCAGGCTGGCCCCCAAGGACAATCCGCAAGGAGGAGAGCAAAAGTTGCAGGCCATTTCAAGATCCCTATTGGGTTGCCCGAGGGCGGTATAACACGGACGGCACGGTATCCCTATTCCAGGCTAATTCCTTGCTAAATGCAAATTAGAGACACGATATGCTGTCAAGTCGAACGCACTCTATGAGTGCTCGATGAATCTATTCTTGAAATAGCAGGGTAATTAATTGTAATCAATGAAAGCAACGCATGATGCTTAGGCACTCTTATGGAACATTCTTTGCACATGATTATATACCACGTGTTTCGAGGAGCTAAGTGTTATACTCTGCGTTAGGAACGGTACCTTCCTCTTGCAGGCTTTGATCATTGACACTGTATATGAGCCGACTGGAAAATTCCCAGATAAACTTCTTGTGAAATCATCATGAATTGGCCGTAAATTGTTTATACGTCAGCTAAACGTAAATCGTTCTACGCAGGTAACCAATATAACGTATGGCAAATGCATTGACCGAAAGCGTAGCATTATGGAATGGGGGCAATATCGTATCTGCTATAGGAATCACCTGTCATTTTAATACCTCTGTTTACATATGAAGCCCTCAACTGGATCCGGCCATCGATAGATGAAAGAGCTGCACCTAAAAATGTGTTAAAGACGAAGGTGGCAATTAAGCCATCTGTTCCATTTAACATGGCTAGCCGATTGGTCTGTAATTAGTAGAGAAAGTTAGTACTGGCCCCGATGTTGGGTCCGTATCGCTGGCGTTCTTTAATTAATCTTCCTGCATCGCCCAACAAAGGTGCTACTGCACTTTTGCTTGGCGGGCTGCAACATAAGTGAGGTTTTTCTGCGAACATTCTTATACAATCATCCCACGGTATACGATTGTACCCGGGCAAAACCGCCTACGAACTCCACACACGATAGCTGCTTTTCGGACTGTGCACTCTGATGTATTCTGTTTTCACTCAATCAGGAAAAGGCAGCGGGCCAACAAAATGCTGCAGTATCGTATATAGCGGCCCACTGAAAGAGAGCCAGATACCGGTTTTTGACTTTGAAACTTTTGCCCTTTCAGCTCAGCTTTGCAAAGCGATTTTTTTACTTAGCTTTTGCTAGTAAGTGCGAAACTCATACGCGTACGCTTCTTTTACTCTGCCCTGTTGTCGGACAATCGCATCTACACGGATGTATCTAACTGCCGAGCTGCTGTACTGCATAAGAAATCAACGTGTTTATTTAAGTGGACGTTTGGCGATTATTTCTGAACCCAACTAGGGCCCTTTAGGCCTCGGCTGCCTTCGACACAATTGGAAAAGTCCTCCCGTAGCTATGGTACAGCATCCGAATATGAATTTGTTTGTGGACAGCATTTGACACGCCGTACATTCAGAAAGGATTTATTCCATACAGCATAAAACGACCATACCTATCATTTCTCTATTTATCGCGAAATATGCTAACTTGTCTAAATGAATGTATCTTTCAAACCAAGCACAGCCCCCGTCCTCTTCCCTATAATGTTTCGTTCTTCTTCCCGTGCATAACCCTGAAGGAACACTGCCGTTTAGAGTTAATGAGGAAGAACAGCCAACTAGAATAGGGCGAATTGTAGTACAATGCTCTGGGAAGCCCCTCTATATATTTATGATTGTTCATATGTAAGTATATAGTAACTGAGGTATAAATACGTTAGAAAGAAACGTATAATGGATGATTTTGAACTTGTCTACAGAGAAGATGTGTTCTTCTACCCCTTTGGAGTCCCCCCATTGGATTCCGTTCAAACTTGGCTTGTGGAGAGGGTGGAAGTAAGCGCACAGGCGAGCAAAGTAAGAATCTCAGTGAGGAGTATGGAACTAGCCCCCAACGGTGGAACAGCTGAAGGGGCCGGCTAGTATCAAGTAGACTGGCAGTCGAGCTCCACCTCCGCAGGTTGTGCTCGGTTACAAACTATAGGCTCCAGACGGGCACGAGAGCCCTAACAAGTCTCGTGTTCGCCGCTGGATGGACTGAGAACGGCGGACGGCCTATTGAGGAAACATGGCGTTTGGTCGGTTTGATCGAAAACAGAGCGCCGCTTCGTCAGCAGCTATCTAGTTCGTCTCATCACATCTCGCGATAGAATGAAGAAACAGGAACCGTGCATGTTCACAGCAGCCGCACTGATCGTGGCCCAGGCATCATCATCATGGACATTATTAGCAGCATTGCGAGCAAATTACCCCTTTCGTGTCGAAGAGGCAATAATATACGACTGAAGAGCATACTCAAACAAAGATAGCGCACACCGTTCGTGTTGGCATTGTTAACGCATATACCGGTTCTCGTCAAATAACACAATGTATAAGAACAATGATATTTACCAAGAATCGCTCTCAGGACAAATGCCATTAGGTATTACCGTTACTGGTCGATGGATCCTAATAGCTGGGCTTTTAAACCCGGTAGGGTTTACTCGTATCGAAGTCTTTTTTATTTGTTTTTACTTCGCCTCGAATAATTGTGCTTCTTTTTAAAACGTGTGCCTGAAGCAACGCTTTACTGCAACACCGGAGCGTCAACACATAATATAAATACGCTACGTAACATTATCTCATGAAAATTCATATGCATCATTTACAAAAATGTTATAGTTTACTTTGACAGCTTTCTGCATCTATACTGCCTTGCCCACCTGAATAGTCTCGTCTTCCGTCCTACATGACTTCATGAACTCGTCGATACTTCGGGTTGCCCTCACTTGAACCAGACGAAATCAGCCCATATCCGACTATCTGCTAACATCTTGGCCCAGCCAAGCGCACCCACGAGCTATGGCGATTTCTTTCCCGTGTCATAATTCGATAATTGTCTTCGGGCGTCTTTTGTTCCCCTTAGAACCCAACCCAGTGCGAGCAGAGGGCTCGAAAGGATCTCTCCGACAATTTGATAGAGTTTACGTGGGTGATTCGGAGCAGAGAAGGATCAATATGCTCGTCTCATACAGCCTTATCGTGTAACATTATTAACAGCATGAACTAGGTCCAATATGAAAAAAAAATTTGCTGGACAGATACCTATGCACTTTGGATTAACGTTACTTATATTGTATTAACTACAATACTGAGTATCTGTTATTTACATATTGTAAATGACTGCCTAACGTACTTATTTGCTTACGCACTATTAAGTCAGAGAGGTCTCTTTTAGACGAATACTAGTCGTGATGATGCGAAAACGAAATCTGTCCATTAAATCAGCGTCTGTAACGCTATACATTGAATCTAAGAACGTTGTTCAGGAGTAGGTGTAGTCCTTTTTAAATGTATCTCAAAGGATCACCTCAGCATATGATAAGATCGCGTCATAATATACTATGAAGTGATTTATCTTTTCGCGAAAACCATTATTTACATTGTCATTTTTCCCCAAAATTGTATTTTTATTCCTAAATTTGTACTTCAAACAAATGTACATCATACATAAGAGAATTTCGAATTCGATGAGTAAGTGAAACTTGGAACTGCTCATATCTATTAACGCGATTAAGATACTGACGTTAACAGTTACGCGTTTAAGGTCTCGGATTTGATAGCCAGTCAGAACGCAGTGATTTTTTTATCTTAATATAACCTCACATAGCACTTAAACGATTGATCATTGCAAGTAGCTTGCTGAAGCCATGTTTAGCCTTAACTATTGCACTGTCACCATATTGCGGAAAGACCAGCGTTCAGAGATTCAAATGAAAGCTTTCGTAGATCATGAAAGCAAAAGAAAGACGAGCATCGCTAACCCATTATGGCGATTGTTTAACTAGGCGACTCGAATCGTCCAGAGTTGTTTTATACGGAAACAGGTCAACGCATCAAGGCTTTCGTGGGGCCTATGGTCGAAGGTGATGATTTAAGGGTAACCTGCGTTATACAGAGAGGTAGGCAATTTGTTTCAAGTTTTATACCCAATATCAACAATATTAAAACGAGCGTCTCATAAGATGCTCGATATAATACGCTAATTGATAACCAGTCATAGTTTGCCTAAGTCTGGATTAGTTATCTTTCATTGTTGCAAATAAAAACCAAAACATTTTCTGTGTACCAAACGCGATGTGACGATCGTAAAAAAAAATGCATAAATCACATTAAAGTAGCAGCAGGTTAGCCCCAACAAAGAGAGCCAACATTGACATCAATATCTGTTACTGTATTAGTGACGGTTGTGTTTCTGCCGTTTCATAGGATTTACTCTGCAGTGGTTTCTGAATGAGCGTCGGATTTCCGAAGGTTACCTCACTACAAAAAGCGCTACAAGACTTTCAGCCGGAGTTCGTATTGCCGGCCCATCAGCCAATTCGTCTGTTGTCCAGAGCAAGCTTTGGCTTAAGGCTCTGACCAGGTCAGACCCAAACGCAGCTCACAATGCTTTTATACAGGAGAACAACAATTCCATAGAGTCCTTCTCAATGGCAAGCATATAGTGCTTTATCTCAGACCATTTCGTTCGCAAGTTCCATGAACATGCACGTATTCCGTATACACACGTGCCCTCATATCATTCTCTTGTCTCAATTGTGAATATTCAGGACTCACATAGGCAATCCACAAAAATGTACAAGTTTATTGCAGAACAGAATAATCAAATTCTAATTTATGATGTGAAAAGTTACATCAGTCTATAAACGTTCTAATAACTTGGTAGTGACCTGATTAATACATGTCAGACTCGTTAAACATGGCTTATGTGTTATATCCATTGTCAGGGATATGCATGGCGCCGTGTTAAAATGCGCGGCATACAACGAGGAGCACAATTTGACCACACCGGTATCCGCGGCTATATCACTGTGGAGTGAGTACAATGTTAAAGGCAGACTATATAATTTTGTCGTGAATGCTGCTTAAACCAAGAACTGCTCCTATCGAAAATTTGAATGTTCCTAGTAGTGCTTCTGATGAAATTATGGCAGACGTTAAGCAAGAGCAACACGTAACAAGTCACTACCACGAAAAAGTTTCGAATAATTCCAAAAAAGTTTGCATCCATAATGTCTATAGAAGTGCGGTAAAATCGAATTATGCTGGAGCGGTTGATTGTAAATGGTAAAAAAAAATAAAACAGATATGACAATTTGTAAAAATGAAAACACAAATTATTCTCGTCGCTGCCCTTTACCAATGACAATGTTAGATCACATACGTCCTAAACTACCTAGCAAAAATTAGGAGGATCGAAAGGGGGAATTTAAAATGCCCGGATGTTGTAGAACTTCCTTGATGGTTCTAAAAATGCAAAAGATCATTCATCGTAATGGGTCTACTGAAATAGCATGGTAGAGAAATGATCAAATATATATACTGACCGCATACCTAATTTACCGATATTACTCTAAAATAGAAATTATTTGTTTCAAATATGGCCTAAGACGATCAATACTTAGTTTTTACCGTCCTAAGGGGTTGCAGCATTCCTGATGGGAAAATGATCCTCCTGCTAACGTTCTTTAACTTCCCAATAATTTGCTCCAAGATTGTCATTGGCAATACGATCCCTTATGTATCGCAGACATAATTAGCATTATCCATAAATTGCTTTCTTTTCACCTTCTAATCCCCACTTGCCTCACGATAATGACTCAATTACAAATGGAAGGGTTTACTACTTTTGACGATCGCCGTTAGTTCGAATGCAATCTTGCAATCCCTAGCTTTGCTGTTACCAGATGTATGCCCTTTCTAGCAACATGGAGCGCAGGTAAATAAGACATTTAATTTGATTTATTGTCCGAGCAAAAAAAAAAGTCTTAAAAATGCCTCCCATTTATATATTCAAAAAACCGTGACGCAAAAAGGAGCGCAAAGACGTCATTCATATCGTAAGGTTATGTATTTGCCGTGTATTATCCGGTTTGTGTTCAAAGGCCCCCCGTACATAAACATGTACTTCTTGGGTCTTGCCTTACGTTTATTTAGAAAGCGTAAATTTTCTATTTATTCGCATGAACGACACAAGCGAGCTTATTCTATTCTCATCCGTCTTAATTACCTATATTTCATATCTAGCTAGCTATAGATGGGTTGATTTTTCTAAACGCACTACTTTTTTGTTATTTATTGTATCTAGCTCGTCCAGCGGAGATGCGCATCCAGTCTCGAACTTTTTCCGCTGGAGTTCCAGCTAGCGTTGAGTGCGAGATTGTCGGATCTAGGCCGGTTCCTGAAGTAACGTGGTTCGTGTGTGATCATTACACTAAAAGTTATATTAAAGAAATCCCGCCACAATCGAGGTCGTTTGCTATAAATAAGCATTTAAACGTATTTGTATTTAGATTCTGATTTTCTAAGTCTGAAATGATGGTTTACTATAAAATGAGTTGCACTCCAGGCGTATTTCTGGCCGGCCAGGACAACTTGCATCGACCTTTACGCACGTTTCAAAGGACAACGCGATTACTACTTCTGTGGTGAGTTTTAAGTGACAACAAAACCAGAATAGTTCAGCCAGGTTGCGCACTTCTTTTGAGAGCTCAGGACTTTGATTTGAATAGGCCATACTTCAGAGGCACAACCTTGCGTTAAAGATAATAGTGAACTAAATTCGGCAATTGGGCCCTACACAATTACCATTACATACCTCTTAAATTGAATTTCTACCTTAGGTAACATTTGTCCCAACAGAAGAGGACCAGGGCAGAACCTTAATCTGCGAGGCGCAAAATCAGGCCCTTCACAACTTCCCTGGAAGTTCGGCTAATCAGACACTTGTTCTCAATGTATTCTGTAAGTAATAGCAGAAAATTAAAAAAAAATCCATATCGAAAGTATTTTTGTAAATAATAGCAATTGTCAGCCGATTCCTGATAAACATGTTGCTTTGCAATGAACCAACGATGTAGAAAAACGTCAACTGCATTGTCAACTGGGATAATTCTATAGAAGACACCCTCCGTTTCCGAGCCGTTTCGTTACTTGTCTACACTTCAACTTTCGTTTTCAGATAAACCCAATGTAGAATGCCATACAAATCGGTTAGGTCCATTGGAAGAAGGGACAATATTGGTGATCTACTGTAAATATCGCGCGAATCCGGAAACAGCTGAAATTATCTGGTAACAATTTTTTTTAGGTTAGGGCAAAAATGATAGTGCCAAGCGACTTATTTACAACCCCTCGCCGCCCGACTTTCTCTAACCTTTTTTGTATGAGGTCAACAAAGAATAACTAATGGCCATATTTCCCTATTCAAGTACTGCGAACTCGCTAGGTACTACTTTAGAACAAAGGGCGAACTCCATATTTACCGTCTGCCACACAGGTTTCCTTCAGGGTCTATTTCTTCTGTACTTTTTATTCGTAGGTATTAAACATGCTATTCTAGCAAACGCTAAATAAAAACTTATAGTTCCTAAATAAGTAAATCTTATAGTAGATAGCAGCAGATAGATCTTATTAAGTTCAAGTAATAAGTTCAAATTTCTCTTATTACTGGTCAGTTTTACGAGGTTGCTGTCAATGTAGCTGCTACCATAATGTCCTTTCGTTTACCTAACACGTTAATCCATTGTTTCATAATCAGGATGCTCTAATTTATCTATAAAGACTCTATTATTCAACAACTTTCATATTGCTGCGAAATCTAGCGTTCATATCTAATAAGACATATTGGAATTATAGAAAGTACTCGACATTATTGTATACGTAGAGATTCTTCAACAAGTAGTATTCATTAGAGTACTATCGCTTGACTTTGTGACTAAAAAATACCTTTTTAATGGTATTCGTGCTTCGTAGCGATGTAGTAGGTCTAAACTTGCTAGAGTATTGGTTAAATGCGTTACATATGAAGAGGTCCAGCAGAATTAAATAGTAGACTTAGCTAATGGCGGGTCGAAAATCCCAAAAATACAAATGTTCAAAACCGTAAAAAACGCAAAAAGTTTTTTTTGTCTGGACGCTAAACTAACAACTGATAACCTATTCCCCGAAACGACCATTAATTTCCTTATCAGGAAACGAGCGTAACAGAAATGTTGATGAACTTTTGAGCAAAATGGAGAAGGTTTTTGCCATCTCGGTAAGGGCTCATCCTGTGTGCAGACGTGGCTAATAACCACCTTTGGTCGAATTCTGATTCGCTATAATGAGTTTATTGCTTCATTTTTAATGGAGCTGTTTTTTTGGCAGCTTCTTTGTGCTAGACCTAAGTGATTTGGCGAATAGAATAATATTTACAAATACGATTTTTACACAAATAATGTTCAGTCTTTTAATAAGCTTCAGATGTATTTGCAAATTATTTTGGTCTACTTCGTGTTGCCCTTCATGTACAGGTATAAGGACGGGGCCCGCCTCGAACGAAACGCTCCTGTGCTTGTAGAGCATTCTGTTCGAGGTAAACACTCAGGACGTTACTCGTGTGAAGCCGTCAATGCCGAAGGCGCTGCAAGATGTCAAGAGATTGTCATCGCCGTGAACTCAGGTGATCTCAGAGGCGTCTTTGCTAATTACTTCCACCGATAAGATCCGCTAGAAGTTTAGACCATGGGCGTTAGTTATAGGAAAGATTAGAAACCATTATTTACGTGTGTAATAGCTGCTACAAGTTAGTAACTTACTTCTTGTTATGTTGTTTTGAGATTTTCCATAATTCTTTTCTTTCATTTCATTGACATTTCAGCACCCCAGCCAACTGTTTCCCGATCGTCGGTATCTCATCTCATACTTGCCCAAATGATAATCGTCTTTGCCGTTGCCCAGACGCTACTGCACCGCGGCTGCTGAAAACGAATTCGACAAAAACTGGCAGCCAAATGGCTTTTTAAGTTGAGACAAAAGTCTTCGTTTGTGAAAACTTATCTTCTCAGTTAACACAATGTCAATAAGACTGATCATTATTAATAATGGTATCAATAGAATACATATAAAATCAAAACGAATACAGAATTAATTATAATGTAATATATATATATATATATATATATA